AGGGTCTTAAATAAATTGGGTATGCTTTCTTTTATAGACACGTGCAGACGGAGATTTTTTCACAAAATGTTGAATATTTCAAAAACGGTAAAATTTTGGTATAGGTAATGCTTAACAAAAAGTATGTCGAATTTTAAGGGTAATTCAAAAATGTAATAAAATATGGGGTGTTCCATTTAAATTTACGAAGTTGTACCTTGTACTTTGTTTTTGCAACACCCTGTATAAACAAAAATATTTTTAGGTTATGCACCTTCGAGCACCAAACAACTTCATATATAAACATTTTCTTCTAGCGACACCCTGTAAGGAGATATCATATATATATATTAGCTAGATATGTAGACATTTATTAGCTGATGGGTAGATATTGTAGCCGAGGTCGCTTGCGGGCGAGGCGCTACAATTAATACTTTATATATTTATTATTAAGTGTCATATTTATATTATTTATAAAATTAATGTATCAGAATCGGTTTTCTTATATACTTTTTATGCCTCAACCTCATTTTATGATTGACACTGTCTTATATATTCGGATTTTAGTTCGCTTGATTATTTGTTAGCTCCATAGAACACATTTAATCGTCTAGTAGCATTTCCTTAACTTTTATTTGCCCAATTCCACTTACAACTTTATCATTATCATCGGTAACATAGAAATCAACAGTAATATAGACATTAATATAGACAATATAGATAGCCCCGCAAGCGAGTCTATCTATCTATATATATATATATATATATATAAAATGAGGTTGATATATATAAAGTGTTTGTAGCGCCTCAGCCGCAAACCACTTGGTAATCCAACCCAACCCAAGTCTTAATCATAAAGTGAGGTTTATATATATATATATATATACAGTGTGTCCCAGGAAAGATGTTACAAGAGGTATAATGATTTAAAAATTTCTGAATTTTAATTTAATGCTGAGGAATTAAGCCCTGCTTGGTGTGGAGAGAATTTTAAGTATATTTTCATATTTTGAAAATCAACTCGCACTTGATAGTGAAACGAAATCTATTTTGAGTTCAGGTAAAGTAAGCTTTTTGTTCATGATACGGCAAAATATCTACCTACATTGATTAAACCACCATATTTAATTACTAAGAGATAATACAAATAAATTGCACTATCCCTCAGTTTTAGTTCACATTTCACCATTGCACTACCACAACTAAGAGTTTTATTGTATTAATTTTGCAATTTTTACATCAATTAAAATACTATTTGTCCCCTCTTCCCTTCTCCTCCATAGTTCACATTTCAATTACTATATAATATTTATGTATTTAAATTAAAATGTGGTAGTTCAACCAAAGTAGATAGATCCTTCTGAAATTTTGTATAAGACCATAATTTCTCATTTTGAACAACTTTTCTTAATAAAATTTTTCCGTATCATAAATTTTTAAGTCATTATACCTCTTGCAGCATCTATCCTGGGACACACTGTATATATATAAAGTGTTAGTAGCGCCTCGACCGCAAGCGACATCATCTACAATGACATGCTGTCATCAAAAAATATCTCCGCTAACCCAACCCAAGTCTTAATCATAAAATGAGGTTGCTATATATACAGGTGTCCAATTAGTGCGATATCGGACGATATTTCCTTACAGAGTGTCGCTAGAAGAAAATGTTTATATATAAAGTTGTTTGGTGCTCGAAGGTGCATAACCCAAAAATATTTTTGTTTATACAGGTTGTTGCAAAAACAAAGTACAAGGTAGAACTTCGTAATATTCGTAACTTCGTACCTATTGTCCTATAAATAACTTGATAACTATTGCAAATAGGTATAGGACATGCTTTATAAAAAAGAAGCCTTATTACTTGGTGAATAATTTAAGACAAAAAAATATGAGGCATTCCATTTAAAAAAAATGAGATATAGCTATTTCAAGTTTCTGGTATTGAGTACAATATTACGAACACCCTGTAGAACTATGCATTAATAATCTACAAAAGATTTGCTTTGTAGGGTCTTAAATAAATTGGGTATGCTTTCTTTTATAGACACGATTTTTTCACAAAATGTAATGCTTAACAAAAAGTATGTCGAATTTTAAGGGTAATTCAAAAATGTAATAAAATATGGGGTGGTCCATTTAAATGTACGAAGTTGTACCTTGTACTTTGTTTTTGGAACACCTTGTATAAACAAAAATATTTTTAGGTTATGCACCTTCGAGCACCAAACAACTTCATATATAAACATTTTCTTCTAGCGACACCCTGTAAGGAGATATCGTCCGATATCACACTAATTGGACACCCGGTATATAAAATATTTGTAGCGCCTCGGCCGCAAGCGATATCAGCTAAATTTAATACAAAAGCAGCATCAAAATTGATATATATAAAGTGTTTGTAGCAACCCAAGTCTTAATCATAAAGTGACGTGTTTTTAGCAACAAATATCTTTGCTATCTTAATTATTAATTGTAATCCGAGGTCGTTTGCAAACGAGGTTCTAGAATCAAAACTGTTAATCGTAAAATGTGATTAATATATATAAAATATTTGTAATGCCAAAATATATCTTTGATATTTTAAAATCACCAGGTTTTATCTTCCTCGACTTAGTTATACAGCCTATTCTAAATTAAGTGCGCACCATTGCTAACTTTTTTATGATTCGAGGTAAATAAGTAAATTAAACATTCCTTTATTTGAAAATTTGGCTTTATCGCTCCATACAATGCATTTACATTTTGTCTACACATATCTGTAATCCATTGACGAAAGATTAGCCTCTTTTCAGTGTCACCAGCTACTAATATTTGTACTTATACTATTAGTACGTTTTGAAATATGCCAAAACATTGACTTCTGAGTTGGTTTTCACCGACTTTGTACCTCCACTAATAACAAAGTTAGCAATGGTGGGTCATTTAGAACAAGCTGTTTCAAAAAATGTGCTATATAAGTAAAATACTGAAAAATAAGTAGAATTTGCTTATTAAAAAATGTTCATAACGGCATCCGTATTCAAGATACAAGGTGTTGAAAAATAATTTATACATTTTTTAATTTATATTCACCTCAACAGTTGCAAAACAGAATTAAACGTCCTTTAATGACCTCAAAAACGAAAGAAATTTTGAACACTTACTCTAACTGATGGAATATTTCATGTTTTTAGCCAAATTTGTTTTAATCCTCATCTTGTGATTCGTTGTTTAACTTATATGGCTCAAATTGTAGCATTTTTGTACATATCTTCTATCTACAAGAATCTATTTACAGTATTTGATTTAAATATCACAATAATCAAGATTTTCATCAACCTCAAACTCGCCTTGGTTAATAATTCGTTCCTTAAGTACACAATTATTAATTGTACACAAATATCTCGATTTCTTTCAAATGTAATAAGCATATAGGGCTAAAATTATAGCATTATAAGATTAATCATGATTATTTGTACACTAACCTTACTCAATATCAACTTTGGAAGCAACACACTCTTAATAACTTCAACTTAGGCGAAGATAACGAATACTTTTGCTATATTAACAGAGAAAACTGTTATTTCTTCAATTTAAACTGACTAACGTGGACGTCAAATTTTTTGACAGCGACATTAATGCGGTTAACTTCACGTTTGTCTCCGAGATTGGTTCGAAATCGGAATAAAATTGTTTTTAAATAAAATAAAAACGTTTAATAACGTTTAATTGATGATTAAATTAAAATTATTTTAATAGTTTAATTTTAATAAAAATTTATTATTATTTATATTGTAATAGTGACTTTTTAATTTTCTAAGTTGGTAGTAATTTAAAACTAAATTTATAACTGTCAAATCTTTGAAATGTAAAAATGTGAGGTTAAAAAGATAAAAACGTTTAATTTAGTGTTCGTTTTAATTTCAGATTATTGAAAACGAAAAAAGTGTAATAAAGAAGAAGTAATTATTAACTTTAAGAAGTTAAGTTTGACCCTTTTTTAAAAAAACTTGGAATCATATGCTGTGGCCGTTGTCACAACTGATCGCCGCCAAATGCGTTTCGAGACGGGCGCCGCCCCCGACAAATTGAGAAGAGGAGACGGCGGCGACGACGACAGCGACGTCGTCGACGGCATCAGCGATCCAGCAACGGCCACGACGGCCACGTCATCGATGGCCTACCACCCATTCCTGCAGTTACCCAGGCAGACAGATTTTAGTGTCAGCAGTTTGCTGACGGCGGCCTCGGGGGCGCAGCAGGCGCCGGCGCCAGCAGCGGCCCCCGCAACTCCAGCTGCATATTTTCCCGCTGCAGCTTTAGCCGCTTTCGGACAAGGTCACGGTTGTTACCCGGGAACTTTAATTCCAAAAATCGGCGGACCACACAACCCACATGCAGCGGCTCTAGGTGCTCATCCTTACACCACCGCCGAAGACGTCGTTTTAGCGGCGGCGGTCGCCGCCCATAATCATCATCCGGCTATGGTGAGACCGTTAAGAGCAGTTCAACCCGAGGAAGATGGTGTTGTGGACGATCCGAAGGTGACGTTGGAAGGGAAGGATTTATGGGAGAAGTTTCATAAACTGGGGACGGAGATGGTTATCACAAAAAGCGGAAGGTAAGAATTACAACTATTCGAAAAATTAACACGATTTTTAAACAATATCAAATAAACATTTTTTTTTTACTATTTTTAACCCACATGTCGGCAAAGTAACGCAAAAAAAAATGCGTTAACACGCATTTTCTTCCTTTTATTTTTTTTTAATTTCCCATAAATAATTTATTCATAAACAGTTTGAGGTCAAATTTGATGTTATACGCTTTAACAACATTTGAAACTAAAAAATTGATGATTTTAAAAAATTGTTGTGACAGAAGTTGTTCCTTTTTTAATTTTTAACAAGTTTTATTTGAAAAATATTTTGATACAAACAATAATTAGGAAGATAATTTTGAATTCGATTCTTATGCTGTTCACAGGAAATCATAAAGTTAGTAATTTTAAAAAATTGTGCTTATAAAAGTTGTTCCTGTTGTAATTCTTAACAAGTTTTGTTTGAAAAATATTTTGATACAAACAATAATTAGGAAGATAATCTTGAATTTCATTTTTGTACTATTCACAGGGAAATTAAAAAATCGATAATTTGAAAAAATGTTGCCTACAAACGTTGTTCCTTGTTTAATTCTGAGCAAGTTTTATTTGAAAAATTTTTTGATACAAACAATAATTTGGAAGATAATCGTGAATTTCATTTTTGTACTATTCACAGGGAAATAAAAAAATCGATAATTTGAAAAAATGTTGCCTACAAACGTTGTTCCTTGTTTAATTCTGAGCAAGTTTTATTTGAAAAATTTTTTGATACAAACAATAATTTGGAAGATAATCGTGAATTTAATTTTTGTACTATTCACAGGGAAATTAAAAAATCGATAATTTGAAAAAATGTTGCCTACAAACGTTGTTCCTTGTTTAATTCTGAGCAAGTTTTATTTGAAAAATTTTTTGATACAAACAATAATTTGGAAGATAATCGTGAATTTAATTTTTGTACTATTCACAGGGAAATTAAAAAATCGATAATTTGAAAAAATGTTGCCTACAAACGTTGTTCCTTGTTTAATTCTGAGCAAGTTTTATTTGAAAAATTTTTTGATACAAACAATAATTTGGAAGATAATCGTGAATTTAATTTTTGTACTATTCACAGGGAAATTAAAAAATCGATAATTTGAAAAAATGTTGCCTACAAACGTTGTTCCTTGTTTAATTCTGAGCAAGTTTTATTTGAAAAATTTTTTGATACAAACAATAATTTGGAAGATAATCGTGAATTTCATTTTTGTACTATTCACAGGGAAAATAAAAAATCGATATTTTGAAAAAATTTTGCCTACAAACGTTGTTCCTTGTTTAATTCTGAACAAGTTTTATTTGAAAAATTTTTTGATACAAACAATAATTTGGAAGATAATCGTGAATTAGATTTTTTGTACTATTCACAGGGAAATTAAAAAAGTCATAATTTTCAAAAATGATGCCTACAAACGTTGTTCCTTGTTTAATTCTGAACAAGTTTTATTTGAAAAATATTTTGATATAAACAATAATTAGGAAGATAATCTTGAATTCTATTTACAGGGTGATTCAAAAAACCGCTGACAGACTTCTAGAGTAGATAATACAAAAAAAATTACGATGAATAGTCTTAATATACATGGGGTCGGAAATGCCTCGTTGGCGAGATATAGCAGATCAAAGTTTCTTTAAAATTAAACATTATCTGCAATAAAAAAACACTTTTTTAGAAATATTGTCTACGCCATTGCTCTCTACGCGTGTAAAGTGATCAATTATCTATCAATTGGAAATTTCTACGTTTGTAGAAAATTTGTTAATTCAATCAAAAACTGTTGCTTTAATCAAAGTTTTGTAAGAGACCAATTGATAGATAATTGATCAGTTTACATGAAAATACTGCCCGTTTGACAAAATTAGCAGTGGAGTTGAAAATATTTTTAAAAAAGGGCTTTTTATTGCAGATAATGTAGACTTTTCATCTTAATTTTTGATGTATTACCTGCCCTAGAAGTCTGTCAGCGGTTTTTTGAATCACCCTGTATATACTGTTCAAAGGGAATTTAAAAAATTGATAATTTTAAATAATGGTGCTTATAAAAGTAGTTCCTTGTTTAATTTTGAACAAGTTTTATTTGAAAAATATTTTGATACAAATAATAATTAGGAAGATAATCTTGATTTTCATTTCTGTACTATTCACAGGGAAAATAAAAAATCGATAATTTGAAAAAATGTTGCCTACAAACGTTGTTCCTTGTTTAATTCTGAGCAAGTTTTATTTGAAAATTTTTTTGATACAAACAATATTTAGGAAAATAATCTTGAATTTCATTTCCATAAAATTAAAAAAATGCATTAACACGCATTTTCTTCCTTTTATTTCTTTATCTCCCATAAATAATTCATCCATAAATAGTTTGAGGTTAAATTCAAAGCAAGCGTGTCAAATTTGAGGTTATACGCTTTAACAACATTCATCATCGTAGAAGGCGAAATTATTTTACCGACGGCGTTGCGATTTCGCCGAGAAATAAAGGTGTAAAGAAGGGCGAGTATAGGTTATGTACTTATCGACCGAGCGTAGTCTTTTTTTTTCTTTTTTTTTCGCCGTAAAACAAAACACTCTCAAAAGAGTGCAGAGGGGAACAAAAAGAGAAAACGCGGGCGGATAGAAAAAGATAGCGCATCAAATCAGGGCCACCCAAGAAAACCTTCTCCTTCTCGAAATAGACGCTTGTTTGGGAACGCTAATTAGGCTAATTCGATTTTTACGGAAATTATCAAATTATAACCTTTAAAAAACGTTTTTGGTAACAAAAAGAATCATATCACGTTTCGAATTTCTGTTATTTAATATCGAAAACAAGAAGAATTCGCAATAACACACGAATGTTGCCTCCCTCGTATTTTTATTTAATATCTCTCTCCCCTCTACGAAAAGGAATAAAATTTAAGCACCCCCCAAATTTAAACATAACCTCAAAAAAAATCATAAAGATACAAATTGAAACGGAGAAAGCATTTTTTTTTTGCTTTGGGGGTGGTTGTGGTGGTACCCCTTATCTTTATAAATCCCGTTCGAGTGGGGCTTATGATTGGGTCACTCGACGTCGCGCCGCTAATGAATATTCGCCGTTTCAGCCGCTGAAAACGGCTACTAACGCCTTTCTATCTCACCTACGACGAGAACACTTCAACTTTTTTCCTTTCATCCCCATCTGGCTACCCCTCCGACCTGACCTCTCATCGGAGGGGTTACTGAAAAGAGCTCAAAGGACTTTTCACTTGCGTCATCACAAACTACTTGTCAATAAATTTTTTGAAATATTCTCATTTCGAAAAAATCTTTAAAATCGATTAGAAAAAGACGCCGAATAATATTTTGTAAGGAATAAAAAGGGATGAGAGTACACAAAGAACTCTTTTCGTCCTTCTTTTTCCTGATTTTGCGTCTCCTAGCCGCCGAGTTTTTTCCTACAGAATCCCCCCCACGTCCTCTCGCCCCCTTTTGCATAAGTGGTCCAATTACTAACACCCCGTCCCGTTCAAAAATTCACACATACTCGCTTCCTGTACCTTTGACAGGATCTGAATCCCGGCTATTTAACGTAGTACCTAAGGGGGGAAAAGGGCCTCTCTAACGGTTGCGGGGAGTGGTAAAGGGAGAAAAGAAAAAAAAAAGCTGGGAGAGGGAAGTTAATAAGCCTACGTATTACTTTGTGAGTGTGTATCAAAAATTTATTTATGTCTGTACAAATAAGAGTTGTTCAAAATGATTTTTTTTTTGTTGAAAAGTAATTTATTGTTTTGAATTATTGATTTTTTGACACAAAATGCGTGATAATGCCGAGGCAGTACATTGACACCAAATTATTTCAAAATTCGTCTGCAAGCAACTTTGCCTAAACTTATTAGGCTTATTGCCAGTAGTTGCCAATATCTCAAGTCATCTAATCTTAAGTTATCTTTGTTACCACGAGAACATTTTGGGTCCATCCTTATATTCGTAGAAATATCGACAAAACATTATTTGTTGCCGGCAATGAGCTATCAGTAGATGACGCTAAGTTTCACACTTTTTACAGAATACTCTAATTTGCGTCTAAGACAAGCAGCTCCATGTGCACACAGCCTTAGGACTCAGAATCTATAATTTGTCATAACTAGCATGTACAGTTAATAGCATATCAACCCAAAACTGATTCTTCATTGCAGCTGAGACGCTATATTTTGGACACAACCATTACAAAATTGGGCACATCTTGTACACTCAAATAAAAGATTAAAAAATTATTACTGATTATAGCTGCAATCGATATCACATTAACAGAAAGTTGGAGAAAACATTAAGGAAGTTTGACAATGCAATCTACCTTCACATCCATTAGAATGTCGCACTTTTACTGTACATATATATTATTTTATCTCAAAATGCAAATACGCTTTGTTAATTTTTAAAATTTAATATCGAGCCATCACTCGATATATTTTGCTATGTCAATTAATTACTTTAATTAATATTAAGAAACGTAGGTACTTTTCAATGATTAAAGACGTTGCGAAATATATCAAACGATATGATACTTTTTAGATTACAAGTTTTTTCAAAATTTATCAAAAATCACATAACTAAAGCCTCTAGTTTCCTAGATATCCGTGAAATTTGCTTTCAAGTGAAGAATACGTAGACGCAACATCGCAGAATCATCACCAGAGCATTTTAAAATAACATCACAGCAAGCGTTTGAAGCAGCATGTATCCGACTTCGTAATTTTTGGTTATTATGCTTTTTAAATGTCTCAGAAATAAACATCAAAAGCACCTCGATGAGTATAGGTTGTCTTGAAATCGTGACACTTAATAACTTGTTGTTTATAAGTGTTGGAGTTCAAATGTTAATATTTCGGATAACGCGTCACAATTGTTGCAAAAAAATTGGAAACAATATTTAATTTCTTTTAATTATGCGATGGTCTGTTGAGTTGGCCGAATTCGCTCGTATAGTTCGTTTTTTTTCTGTAATACTTGT